TCCTGAAAGTCGTGATTACACTTCGTTTAAAACCCATCGACAACAGTACAGATTTAAAGTTATGAGTTTTGGTCTGAAAAACGCTGCAGCAACCTTTCAAAGGGAAATCAATAAAGCACTCCATGAATACAAAGACTTTGCCAGAGCATATATTGATGACATCGCAATATTTTCAAAGGACTGGAAATCTCATATGGTTCATTTGGATATGATACTCACTAAGTTGGAAGAGCTTCGCTTTACAGTCAATATCAGCAAATGTGATTTTGCCAAACCGCAAATCAAATATTTGGGTTCATGTAATCGGATCTGGAAAACATCAAGCCGATCCTGAAAAGATAGAAGCAATTTCCAGATTATCAAAACCGAAAAGACCAAGAAGCAACTCAGAAGTTTATTAGGTCTGTAACTATTATAGGGACTATATTCCAAAATATTCTGAATTAGTATATCCACTTACTGAACTTACAAAGAAGAAGATACCATGCGGAAATACCATGGAAAGAAGAGCACGACATTGCTTTCGAGGAACTCAAGAATGCTCTGATTAAAGCTCCATCGTTGTATACACCAGTTTTGGGACAACCATTCATTATACATTGTGATGCCTCACAAATAGGAGTTGCAGCATGTTTGTCACAAAATTTCAATGAACGCAATTATCCCATAGCCTATGCAAGTCAGAAGTTAACTCGAGCTCAGCAATCGTGGTCTACTATAGAAAGAGAAGCATATGCTATTGTGTGGAGTTTGAAAAAATTTGAAACCTGGATTTTTGGATCCAAAGTTGAACTTTACACCGACCATAATCCTTTACCTTACCTGACAAAATGTGCACCGCAATCATCTAGATTACAACGTTGGGCTTTTGCTTTGCAAAAATACGAAATAGACATGAAGCATCTACCAGGAGTCAAAATGGGTAACGCAGATGCTTTATCCAGACTGATAGAAGGATGAATTTTTTTTTTTCTTTTTCTTTTTTTACTTATGTCTTTTCATAGACCAAAAACATTTATGAACAATTCATAAAGACTTTAATTTTGGTGGTTAGATTAATTGTTAATTTTCTTATTTTCTTTAAAGCTTATTGCAAGATATATCTTTACTAAGTAATATTTGTAAAGTTATTGAAATTAGTTACTTACAGCAATTAGGTGATTTATGTGTAGCATTCTTAACCATTTAGAAGTTTTTCTTTAAAATGTATACTCGTAAGAGTTAACTCTTTTGTTATGCAAATGTTGTAATATTTTATATTTTCTTTTAGTTGATTAGTAGTTATAATGTTGAATTTTGAGCACCAGGCTTTGTTATCAGAATGTGTTTGGACATCCTGCCCAACCACAATCTTAGGGGGAAGGTGTAGTGCTTGGTCCTCCGAAACTGTAACCCTGAAAATAAGTAGCGCCCGCTAGGCGGAAAAACGGTAAGTTGGAGACTGGCTTTCGGTGGGAGAGGCCGAATGCTCAGTATGCTCAGTGTGGTTTTGGAAATTTAACAATTCTATTATTTTATATAATTCCATTTGTACAAAGTGTATATAGTTTACGTTGATGATGTGAATAAATTAAAAGATAAACCTGAGTCTATTAATTACGCCACCGGACACGGCTGGATCTTACAACTACATATTTTAAACAGTGTTATAATAAAAATAACCCCGTGTTGCCACATCTCTGAAACAAAATCATAGAACACTTGGTTTATTTAAAAGTAGAACTAAATTATTTTTAGAGTTTTATGGATAACAGGAGCGCCCTCTTTCGGCAAGCAGCAACACAGTGAATGTCATAACAATGAGTGATCGCGAATTGTTTTTCTATGAAATAAAAAAGTACGTTAGCACATGATCTAACCACACGCCACAGGCAAACTATAAATAACCGTCATTAGCCGTCCATTAGAAAATGGTTTGCATTGGCCATTTATCGATAATGTTGGCGCTGTTAACAAAAAGATGGGCATAATAACAAAGAACTGCTTTAGAGTTTTTCCTCCAACACGCTGACATTCATACTGCATTGACTTTTCATGTGTATAAACTATGTGCGGGGTAAAATTGAGCCTGTAATCTAGGTTTAAAACTAACTCTTGTGCGACTGACCTAACACTACGACCGAACACTCATCAAACTTCATAAAAAATTCCCGCCAAAATATCCCTTGAAAGTCTATCCTCTTCATTAACTAGAATTTGTCTAAACATTTTCACAATATCAACTGTGACAACTACTGAGTAACATCTGAATTTTATCAAAACTGGGAACAGCTATTGTATTCTAGGACTTGTCATCAGTATGCCGTTAAGAGATAGTCCTGGTTAAGACTTACTACTAGCATTGAAAACCACACGTATTTCGCTCGTAGAGCTAGATTCCTTAATTATCGCATGATGTGGCATGTAGATGTGGCTTGACGTGGCGACTCTGTACTACCAACTGGTTCCATATGCTCGAGATCCAAGTAGTCTTTCATGAATTGTTTATACATCTCATATGTATCAGGATTTCACGACATAACGACCATTTTGATCACGGAAGTGTGTTGTTTTAAAGAATTCTTCACATTTGTGATCTTCGCTAGAGTTACGTTTGACTTCAGGAATGGAGTCTAAAGACCAAAATCTTTCAACTAATTCGTTTGTATTCATCTGAAGATTACCACTGTATAAATAGTAGTTAGATTTGAATTATCAGTAACAGTGTTCCCGGATATGATCCAAGTCAAATGAGAACAAATGACAAAGGCTAATGATTGTCCTCTCTTTATGATATCTCCCTTAAGCATAATAAAAAATACATTTACACCTAACAAAATATCAATAGGTTTTCTTTCATAGAACATAGGATCAGCCAATACTACATCATCAAAATGATTCGCAATTCTAGAAGGAAGCGACACATTAGGCACATCTGGAAGTTATCTTTGGAATTACGCATGCGTATGTTCGAAATCTGGAGTTTGACTCAAAGTGCGAGGTAAAGATCAATTCCACTTTTCCACTTGTTACAGTGTTGAACCAACCAAGGCACGACACTTCCGAGTTTTTTGTTTGTTTTGTTTAAGTATACTTAATTTTAGCTTTTTGGCACACTCTTCACTGTCACAGTCTAGTAAAGCCCTCAAGGGATGGCTTTACCAAGAATTTGGAAAGTGAAACGCCGTTTATAGTGAACCAACGTAAAATACCAAAACGTAATTAATAGCCCTTCTGAGCAGATTGCCCCTTTGGGCTAATAACTTTTTCTGAATATCAATAAAAGAATTAACGTCGCAATAACATAACGTGTCAATTATCCTAACCAGAAACAAAAAAGTTGCCAACAAGAGCTATTTATTTAAAATTACTGACATTATCCAAACATTTTCGATTTATAATGACGTCACATGCAATCGCGTGCTTTCTTCAACGTCAGAATATGACCTTATATAATAAAGAGTCTATGTGTGTGTCTTTCGTTCGTGCTGCGCATAAGCTAATACACCCAAGGCTACGAAATTTAGTACATAGGCGCATCTAGACAAGAGCCAGTGCACCTCTAAGCGATTTTTTCAATATTCGAATCAAATTTTTTAAAATCTTTTTTGATGAAATCGTATCATTTTGAATAGTTTCATTTTTTTGGAAATGTGGTTTTGGCAACAGTGTTTCATTTAATTCTTTGTATACTGAACTGCCGACTGTTGAAAATATGGGATAAAATATTAATTATATTTCACTTTGCAGAGTTTTTTGTTTTGTTTGTGTTTTTTCATGGTATTTATTGCTTATTTCACTGTTTTTAAGATAATGAAAAGTTTTGATTTTTTTTTTTTTAGGAAACAAAGTTAACTTCCTTTATACCATTTAAATTCTTAAGATTTTGCAACGGGAAGTTGATTAATTTATTTATTAGGATAATTAATATTTGTATTAAAGGATATTGCTTATTTCATTGTACATTTTTTTAATATAAAATACATTTTTATTGATTTTTTTATCAAGTTATTCTGCACAGTACAGTAAATTTAAAACACATTTTTTAACACTGCACAGTAACACTGCAGTGTTACTCTGCTGTATTTAAACACTGCACAGTAAAACTGCAGTTTTTAAATTTAATGTTTGGTGTTTCCTTCAAACATTTTTTCGGGACATTTAAAAGCAAGACGAAAGCTGGTCGCGTAGCGACTAGTATTTAATATATAGCAATGATACTTTTATTTCGTATTTTGTGAAACTTACAAATTTTTTATTAAAGTCTACGATTTGAAAGCGAGCAGTGGCAACACTTTTCAAAATAAAGCAAATTTTTATCTCTAGCGTGCGATACTGGCCACTCAGAAGAAATGAGAGCGAAAATTAGCGTTTTCAGAGTTTTAAATTAATATATCGACGGATTAAAGTCGTACGAAGATGAAAGTGGTCGAAATGCATATTTTTAGAATGCAGTGTCTCATGAATTTTTGGATTCCGGAAGTACCTCTTTCGAAACTCAGGTCTTCGCCTTTCCGGCACAAAGAGACAGACGCGCACAGATTTTAATAGTATAGATTGGCAACGTAAAATTTCAACTGTGTTTTTGTTTTCCTCAAGAGATCTCCCTATTTTAAAAAAAGTTTAGACAATAGGGTGTGATAAGTTCGCCTAAAGGAAGAAGAACCTGAAGATTAATATGGACAAAGATGTCTCGAGAGCATAATAAGTTAATTCCCTTATCCCAAACCCCTTAAATCCAATGGATAACCGCTATCACTGCTATACATCTTCTTTAAGGATACCACTTTCACAGAAAATTCAAATCGTCTGGAATCTTAGAAACTAATCTTAGATAGAATTCACAATACTTTTGAAAATGAGTTAAGCGTATCAACAGAAATTATATTTAAATCAATACAAAAAATTCATCCAGTATTTAAATTTCTCCAATTTCTTAAAATGATGTCTTCGGTATTTGACTAAATCACATAGAAAAGGGAAAATTCAAATCTTATTGTTATGAATTTCTTAAAACAAACATGGCTTAAAAACACTTTCGTATTTATTTTTTAGTTCATGTATACATCTAGTGCTCTGCGTAGACAATTCGCCTTCGTTCATTACATGTTCCAAGCTTTATTTGAAAGTGTTTGATAGTCTCAACAAAAACAATGTTGCTCACATACTGATGGGCAGCAATTTTCGTATGTTGAAGCAAGTTTGCATCAACCTCGTCTCTTCCGTTGGAGAAGAACATCTGTGCAGTTTCGTTTCTACTTTTTCAACCACTTCGTCCACAAATTCTCTCAGCTCCAAACACAACTGAGATTTCAGATAACAGAAAGCCTCCAAAAAATCTTGCCACTTTCCTTGGTCTTCCCAATATCCAGCTAGTTGAAAGATCAAGACTTCCATTTCTTTTAATGCCCTAATACCAGACGTTGTACTTTCGACACCATAGATACAATAAATCCGTTTCTGAAGTTCGAAATAATTCCTTAAAGCTTGAAAATCACTACACATTTGTGCAAACATACAAGAACACGCTGCTTCATTATCTACAGCTTCAAAGTCACGGCGTGTCTGCGTAGGAATAAAACACTGTTTAATTTCACAATCATCCAAGTTTAAAATATCCGACAAACGTAATAATCGTTGTAAATCTTGAATAAATCCAGGTTCCAAGCCCATCTTTGTCTTTTCTGGGGGAAAGGGGACTCTTTCTCAATCAGTACAAATTAAAACTTCACAGTACCTGAAAATAAATAAAACAATATTAGAGTGCTAATTGGCTTCCCATACGTTGAACACATGGTATATTTTTATTTTCATTAAGCGTAGAAATTTCAAAGCTAAATCGATCTCGGCTAAATTCGATTAACATTACTTGTTTGAGAAACGAACAACTTTATTTTCAATCCAATGAATATAGTCAAATTTCGAATTCCAAGATTAACCGCTGATTCCGGTTATTTAGGAACCCCGTAATATATATTGATCTCGCAGCTATCAACTAATTACTCAAAAACTAGAATGAGAACAAACAGACTTACTCAAATGAGAGAAAAAATATACCATTCAACAGAGTTTATACTTTTCATTCTGTATCAATACATACACGGAGATTTTTCCAAGGGTCTGCGTCCCTACAATACTTTAAACGAAAATTTAAATCGAATAGCTGAGAAAATATTTATTTTAAAAACACCGCATAGCTTAAAGTCGCCAAACAGTGGATTTCAGATATTTTCTTTGAATTTCTGGAGAAACAACTGACAAATTGTCCTGCAACTGCGATAAAAGTAAATAACATGCATGATCTCGCACTTTCCAGCAAAAATTCAGTCATGAGTACAACTAGGGAGGGATCCAACAGCGAATAAGATAAAACGTATCTGCATCATAAAAGACAGAAAATGATCTACAATTTTTACAAAATATTTTACATGGTTTATGCAGTATACATTAACGAAGATAAAAAAGTTTAAGCAAACTATCAGTGATTTAGTTTTAAAGTGAGATAAAATTTATTACGTATTTTATAAAACTTTCGGCTTATTATTGCTTTATATTTGTAAAAATGCCTCGAATTTACATAAGGAATCGAAAAATAAATCATTGCAAGGGACTGAAACATGCCTCTTTATGTATATCAGTTTAAAACTTAATCCGCGGCATTAAACAAAGCAGGGAACAAAAAAAGCGAAAGCAACTTCAATTGTGCATAAAACTGTACGCTTCATAGAAGGACTGTTGTAGTATCCGGAGGACACAGTACTAAGCTCTTTATGTTTATTCATGTATTTATTTTTAATTCCATCGACGGGATCCAACAGGCTGAAAAGCACCTAACCCAGTGGGCCAGCTGTTCCGTCAATGGTGAAAAGAAAGAAAGTATCGAATCTCGTTGAATACATAGGCGTTATAAGCTAGCTGTAAGAAGATTTGTTCTAAATAAAAACTCGTTAAAATAATCCAAGATCTATATACTAGCACCTTGCGTTGATGAAATTTTACTATACCGTATAACCGTACACGAATATTCAAACAGCAATGCCCTTTATAAGGATGCCCTGTCATAAAAGTATTCACACTCACGTAGACGACCACTACTCACCAAGATAGCAACGGTATTATTCTATGCTATCACTCACCGTGAAAGAAAATCGCTGCTTAAACTTACCTTACTGAACACCTTATTCAGGCAATGTAACTAGTCCAATCAATATCCGTTTCCATTATCATTTCCATAGGATTTACGTACAAGCTACACAAGCTATAGCTTAGGGCCCCCCTTTCTTGTCCCCCCAAAATGTAGTATAACATATTTATGCCCCGGGGCCCATAATTTAGGGCCTTTAATTAAGTCTAAATCCGGGACTGGCTGTTTCGCAGCATTTTTAACTGCATCTTAACGAACATGAGGTTTTCTGCACAAAAATAAATAAACCCCAACGTTGTTAGAAATAGTAGTCGGGAATCATACAATTAATTTTTAACACAAAAACAGAAATATTTAACGCAGCATCACAAAATATTCATCACCGATATATAAATGCATTTCGTAATTATTTTTGCATAATTTGTTAGAGATAAAATGCCTTTTTCTTGCAAAAATATTACGTACGGTTCGATATCACCTTGAATCGTACCTTGTATAATTATATGCCACTAGTATCCAGGGAACTAACAGCTTTCTTAGAACGATATTAACGGGCATCGCAGCCTCAGAAACCATATGCAAATAACATGAGAAACCGTACGCAAGAAATAAAGTATAATTTCACTACATCTTTTTCGGTTGCTTTTTTAATTTGCTTTTCTGCTGGTGATTTTCTTTCATAATGGCCGCTATAGTTCCGCTTCGAGAAGAAGGCGTTTCAGTCACATGGTTTCAGACGAATCCATTTTTCAGATACAGTGAGAGGTAATGTTTCCGTGGTAACATAACCACAGTGCTTTCCTGATTTGGCACTGTTAGTCTTGAAGTTCTAACCATTAGCAAATATAGCAGTTGTAATAGAATTAGAAAGGAAAGGTTTAATCAATCATAAAATTTTTAATATTTACAAAAACAAATCAATTATGGAAAATTTATAGTCTTAAATAATCATTAAAAAAAATCAGTGACAAATGTTAAGCATCATTTTTAACATCTATAACTTTTCAAATCCATTTAAAAAATAATTACTCTTTCAATCATCAAAATCAGATGCTGAAGTTGCAGTTGACACCAACTCATCGTCATATGAGGCAATGCATACCATGAAAACTTAGTTATTTGATAGTTCCTTCAACTAAACTGTCAAGTTTCCAATACTTGTTTGCATATTACACTTTACCCACTGTTCTCTGAAATATTTACGAGGGGTTTCTTTTTGTCAATAAAAACCAGTTTTTCGTTTTATAACAGGCAACAAAGTATTTAAAGAAGGAATGTTTTTATTTGGGTAAAATTCATTGGCCGTTCGCAGAATAACACAAAATCAAAATAATCCACGCTTTTTAAAACACATTCCAGCTTTTATTAGGCCTTCTTCACTTCCCGGGAATGGCCAGGATAGGAGAAATATTAGCTTCTGGTTGTATACGCGTAACGGTTACACCAGTAGCAAAAGCTGTTCTCTTCTAAGCCTGTTGAATAGGAATGCATAGCTTTTTTAGAAACTGCCTCCTTCTACAAAAACTTGTACTTTATGGACCACTTTTCGTTCATTGCAATAAATTGCTCTGCCTTTACAATATAGTTTTCCAGAGTGGGGGGGGGATACTCGTCTCTGACTTCAAAAGCTTAATAAACTAAATGGACCAACTGTTATGAAATCAAGGAATTAAAAATTGTATTAAACACGCAATTATAAGCATCAAGATTTAAAGCAGCTATACAATTCTGAATTCTCATCAGCAGGATGCTCATAATATGTGGCAAAGAGGCACTTCGTTACAGCAAAAGAATTGTTTAGCGAAAAGTAGGGTCGCCAAGCATCATCTACTTTTAGGATTTCTAACCTACTTTTAGGATTTCTAACTTCGTAGCCCCTACTTAAAAATGAACGGTTCCAAAGTCATAAAGCCAAGGTATCCGAGAATTCTGAGGTCATTCTTTTATGGAATTTGCTGGAGATGGAAGCAATCCTTGTTTGAATCCTTAGCGGGTTTTTCGAGAATATCCTCGAAAGTAGATTTACGCTATATATATATATACCCTGCCTTGTACAGAGAGAAAGTACTGTCTTGAGTTCAGAGATTAGGTTAAGAGCGATCGATCAAGTCTGGAATTGTACTTTAGTACTTTGCCGTGAAGCTATCTTCACCGTCATAGTTCTAGGAATTGCCCTGTGTAATAGTGCTTACTGACACAAACTGTATTTTGATTCTTCATCAAGTATTATCATCAATTACTCCAAATCCACGAACAAGTTGAACGCAACAATATAAACACATTTTAAAACAGCAAGGTAAATAAACAGAACAAAAGCATTACATGTTAAAATAACAAACAATGTAACATAAACATAAGGCTTACGAAATTACCTTATGTTTATGTTTTTTTAAACATAAGGCTTACGGAATACATCATCATTTTTCTTCTTCGCATTGTGTTAAAGGAGTTACTACACTCTGCCTAAGGGAGGGATGCCTTCGTGGAGGACTTTCTAAGGGAAACTGGCTCGTAGACACGTTACACATGGGGAAAACCACGAAAACGTCCATGCAGCCAGCCCGTTTGCGGGATTCGAACCGCAGACCGAACTACCAGTGTTCAGCGACTTTACCGCTCGGCCGCTGGTGGGCCGCACTTTCTATTATGAAATGGCTGCTTTTGTATTTTCCCCCAAATTTTAATTATAAATCAACTCTGAATTATATAGTGTATATAGCTGGTTGATTAAGTGCAATAATTTTTGTCTCTTTCGATTGACGACATTATTAACTAAAAGCCAGTGACTATGCGATAATGTGATTCATATTATAAATTATTCTTCATAGCCATGTCATTCATAATAATATATTGTATTATATGAGTAGATTCTTGTTAACCTATTACGAGATGTAAAGCTTTTGTTTGCGGTTATTCAAATGAGGCATAAGCAGCTGGAGTAACTACAGACTTTACCGTAACGAAGTAATTATCGCTATACAGAGCGCCATTAACTTTTTTAATCTTCCAGTGTATATAAAGGTTGAGTATATCACATAAACTATAGTTCAACGATTCCTTAACATTTCTACGTCTTCCACAAAAAAAAAGAGAACACTCTGCACTCGCTTTTACAAAGTATATTTGATCGTACAAATTAATCACAGAAATTATAGCTAGTTATTCCAAGATACGAGCTTCCCTTTATCGCAATCGCTGGAAGCAGTCCTTGTTTGAATCCTTAGCTTGCTGTAAATTTTCAATAATTCTATCGATTTTGAGAGTTATCAGTCACATGTTCCTCTTCTTTAGGAGTAAAAAATATTTATTCCCCCCCCCGAAAAACATCTACTTAAAACTAACGTTACTTTTTGTTTAGGAAAGCAGTTTTATAAGGAAGCTTTCACATTGCGGCGTATGTAGAATTCCGTTGCTAGGTAACCAGATTTCTTTACGTTATCAAATGCGTTAATAAAGAATTTGGTTTAGAAGTTGCCAAGTAACGTTAGTTTCTATTTCCCTGAAATGCTGTTTAAGCGCAATGAGATTTGGTAGACACATTACGCTCAGAAAAGCATGCTTTGGACATAGATACTTGAAATTTTTTTGATTAT